ATTTGTTATTCGAGCATAACTTAAGTAAACCATACGACTAACATCCGGGAAAATGCGATGTTTGGTGAGGGCTATTTTGTAATCCGTAGCAAAAAACGTTGGGATTAGGGGTATATGAGGTGCACTACTTAAACTACTGTTGCCTTTTTACAGTAACCATCGTCTTGAAATTTGTCTGAGAAAGGAGAAATTTGCTTCGAAAGAGACCAACGGGTCCAATAGGCTCTGAGATTTCTAAGGTGCTCAGAACCTATACATCTGGCCCTATGGCAGGTTTTAGAGTCTAAAAGTGTACTTTTCTCTAGACATATCCTGTATTTATTTTCTGTCAAATGTGAGTCACACAGATGGTCAATGTATGTTCAATTAAAATTCGTATATTTTTGGTACGAATTAATACAGAAGCATTATTCTTTTAAATCAACATTGTAACCTTTAGGTGTTCACTGGTTGTAAGCTATTATGTTTTGAGTGTCCAATTAGTGGGTATAGGGACTTTTTCAAACAACTGCAAGTTGACATCTTATTAAAACAATGCAATTTAACAGACTGCCAGAAGGAATCTAGAAAGTTAAGGATTCTAAATAAAAACGACCAATTATGACTAACACTAGATAATAACTACTTACAAAAAACCCGTAGCATCTCTATACGAAATTATAATAAAATTATAATAATTAGAAGCACGTGCGGCCGTGTGCATCAGCTTTAAGTTCCCCTCTGAAGCGCGCTGTTGTCCGTCGTCAGGGCTTTGATTGGGTACAGGTAACGTCTCAACCTCAGCCATAGCAGTTGACTGATGGCACACTTCCACACAAATTCGGAACGCTGGTTCGCTTGACTCGACTTCTTTGTCAAATTCCCTCCATGTTGTAAAACGAAAATTGTTTTTATTGACGTCACAACAAAAGGTGTTCACATCCAGGAAGGCCAACAGAGGTTGCTTTTGTCCAACTTATAACCGCGAGAAAATATATTTGAGGTGTATAGTTCGACCAAGATTTCCTTACCTTCGGCGGACACTGTTGACTATGATACCATTAAGCGTCTTTCTTATTTTGAGATAAAAATCACTTATTTTTGTTGGAAGTCAGTATATGTCTGTGGTGACAGAGCATGCGGATATGATATCTTGCCCACCTTAATAGATTAAGTCCATGGCTGAACCCCTGGCAGCTGTGCCATGCAGCAACAGAATATCGGCAGAACACGTGTTTGGGTTATTTAAAAGCTCCTATCCTCTCAGTATAGTAAATAATTACCTAAGTTTTACAACTGGCTGCCCGTTGGCAGCCTAGGAATATTACTCGGTTATCTGGCAGTGGCTGATGGACTTTGACC